TTGTTTCTTATTCCCAACTCTCATCCTCCATTCTAAAACCTCCATACTTGTTTCCAACCATTGTCTCTATTTCTAACCTATCCCCCTCATGTCCCTTGTCATGAACCTTCTCTTCCCCATTCTTAACGTCCATCTTCTCATCACCTTTCTAAAAACTTATTTTAAATACAAATAAGTAAAAAGTGCATCTTATTTGAATTAATATAAAATTTTAGATTAATAGATACATCACATTAGTAACTATGTTTTAGAATTTTTTAAATTAATTATTTATTTTAAAAATCCTATAAAAAATAATAATATTTTTTTACAAATTAAAACACTAATTGTAAGCTTCTTGTTAAGATCTCAAAAGTAAAAAAAAGTAAGTTAAAATTAGAGTGTATTTTTATTTTAATATTTAAGATATATTTAATAAATTTATCATTTTTTTAATAAAAAATCTTATATAATTCTATCTATCTATCTATCTATCTATCTATCTATCTATCTATCTATATATATATATATATATTATGTCTTTCTAATACAATTTTTCTACACATATTGAAGATGGTTGCTTTGAATGCTCATACCATTAAATTTTGCATTGTATACTTTGTTGATAAAAAAGAATTATGACATGGTAAGTTAGTTTTTGACTAGTCTTTATTATTCCATGGAAAATAAAACTATCTCTATTGACAATTTTTAACATTTTTTTGAAATAAGTAATTTTAAAGATATCATGTAATTAATAGATAGACTTAATATAAAACTTGCGTATACCAATCCATTGTAGATTTGATTGTATAGTTTAAAGTTTTAAATCTTGATAATTAACTAAAGTGTAGATTCAAAACAAGATCTCTATATAGTACCTATAAAAAAATCAATAAAAATTAATATCATATTCAACTAAAGTCTATAAAAATTAATTAATATATAATTTAGAATATTAATCAAGTAAAAAATCATATAAGTAATTAAAGTAAAAATTTTAAGAATAAAAAAAATATATATTTTTTATATATACTTATTAAAAATATATATAAAATATATATTTATTAAAAATATATATAAAATATGTATTTATTAAAAATATATATAAAATATGTATTTATTAAAAATATATATAAAATATGTATTTATTAAAAATATATATAAAATATATATTTATTAAAAATATATATAAAATATATATTTATTAAAAATATATATATAATTTTATAAGAAAATACTAAAAAAATAAATAGGAGTAATAAAAAGTAAAAATATAAGTAAAAATTATAAACTATATAAATATATAGAAAAATATTTAAAATTTTATATTATTATAAATAATTTTTTATTTTACTTTGTATAAATATTTAATTCTTATATTTAGAATATTTTTATTTAAAAAAATATCTTCTTATTGTTTTATTATATACATATTTTAATAAAAACTAAAATGGTATATTTTATATAATTAACATCTACCTTTATAATAAATTTTTTTAAAACTAAATTACTTTTAGCTATTATGAATTAAATTAATATAAAATATAAATTAAAGAATAAATTATAAATAGAAATAAAAAATTTATTAAATAAATAATTAAATAATTATATTCAAAAAAAATTATAAATAATTAAAATTAATATCTACATATCTAAATATATATTTTTATTTTCAATTTTTTTCTTTGAAGATGAATAACTTTAAGATTAAGATTTTTTTTCAATCAATTGCTTTTAAGATTTTAACTTATGTAAGTTATTTTAAATACAAATAAATAAGAATAAGGACATTGGGAATAGGCTTTGGAAATGGAGACAAAGGGATTTAAGATGGAAGATAGAAGAGTTTAAGACAAGGGATGGAGGTTGAGAAAGAGGGATTAAAGACAAGGACTAGGAACAAGAAACAATGATTGCAAACAAGAAATTAGGAACAAAGACTAGAAACATGGAAGTAGAAACAATAGTAGGAAACATGGGACTAAAGACAAAGGCTAGGAATATAGGACTAGGGACAAGGATAGGAAACATAAGACTAGGGACAAAGGCTATAAACAAGAGAATTGAAATAGGAGCACAAAGCAAGGGATGGAGATGAAGGATGGACAAAATTAATCATAATATAGCAAGAAGGGTGTAGCTTTAATAAAATTAGAGTATAACTTCAATACCATGGCCTTTCAAAACTCTCTTAAATTACAATTTGGATTCAAATAAATATTTGGCAATTAGATTATAAAGATCTTTGTATTTAGAAGCTCATTTTAAAATACCATGGTGTAAATGAATTACGAAGATACCTACTACACATATTAGAATACAATACTACTTATGCCATTTAGGAAAAGAATGCATTCTACCACATCTTTTCTTTTTTTAATTTTTTGGCTAGTGTTTTTAGCTATAAGACTAACCAAAGAAGGCTTCTTAATTTTACTCAATGACAAGCTTTAGAAGTTGCAACTTCTAGTATTACTTTATTTTTTATCTTAAAAATTTCCATTGAGTTCTTTTTTTATAATTTTTAGTAGTTTTTAACTTGTAATTTTTTTTTTAAATAAATAATTTTAAATTATGATAAATAATATTTTATTATTTAGTTAGAAAAAAATCATAAAGATATCATATGATTTATTTTAATTTTAAAAATATATACATATATAAATAAATATAAATATATACATATATAAATGAATATAAATATATAAATATATAAATATATAAATATAAAATAAATGAAATAAGTCAAAGTTTATTTTAATTATTTATTTTACTTAATATTTTTTTATTAATCAAGATGGAAATTCAAGTTTGAAAAGAAAAAAAGAAAATTAAATAAGTCTTTATACTTAGAGAAGAAGGTAATATGCCATAATTTTCAAATCCTTTAATTAGTTGAAATTAAGAAGCCTTGCCAAGTTGGCTTCATACTTAGAGAAGATAAAAGAAAATGTAGAATACATTTTTTTTTTCTATATGGTAAAATTAGGAATATTTTCTAAATTTGTAGCAGGGTCACTTCAAACAAGTGGTTTTTACAAAATAAACTAAAAATTAGTGTAAAATATTTATCAAAAAGAATATTTTGTGCAATATTTGTCAAAGGTTTTAGATATAAGTTCGTGTAACTAGAACTATTATCTAAAAAATAATTTTATTGATTTCATAGGTTTTCTTACTTTAAACTATCCCTAAATGCCAAGGCTTTCAAAAGAGTGTATTTCTTCATGTAGCAAGAGACCTTAATATAAAAAATTGTACAATGGGCTTTAAACATGGGCCACTATATGTTACTCGGTGATATTGTCCAAATAAAAAACAATAAATTTTTCAGAAGAGCTATTTTTAAATTCAAATATAGATCAGCTAATAAAAAAATTAATAAAATCGTCCACCCAACTCCAAGTACACCTGGTGACGAGTAAGTGAGCCGCAATAGCTCCCACCGAATAGAAGGATACACGAAACTGTTTCACAAATGTTGGCTTCATCTACAAGGAAGATTCTAAAATTACCTGCACCGAAGCAAGCAAGATTCCAGATACCGCAAGCCAATTCTGGATGGAATTGGCAAGTCCTCCTAATACCACCCAACGCAGAGACACGGTGTCGGCCACCCCGGAAATTTAATTAACAACGTGATGAATAATAGCTCCACCTGCCTATTAGAATCTACGTGGCATCCAAGCCACATGTGGTGACATCTGGCACTCCTTCAGTCATCAAACCTGACTTTCGACGCAATTCACCTATCTGTGGTCAAAGCCTTGGAATTCAGCGTTGACTGCATTTGACATTAGTGTCGTGCACCACCGAATCATGAATGCAATAATTCCACTTTCATATATATCAATGTATATGTATATATATATATATATATATATATACAAAAATTGAAAAGGGAAATGGGTTAGTTTTGTTTATTTTTTATTTTTTATTTTCAGAAATAATGGTTCATATTTTTGGCTGAAATTCAAATGTGAGCAGTACAATAAAGTGTTAGCTTACAAATTTGAGGGTGTGAAATGGAATGGAATAACTTTATTAAGCAATGTAGGGTTATTGTAGTCTACACTTAGCATGAGGGTGTGTGTATGTTAATGTAAATACATAAGAAAGAAAAAACAGAGCTTTTAAGTGAATGAATTGAAATCTGAGGATTTCAGGTGAAATAGTTAAGGCATGGACGGATGCACACACACAAACATTACTTCTGGTGCTGGCAAGTACACATGACAGTTTGGGATTTGTGTGTCGTCTTGTTTAAGACTATTATTATTTTTCTCCTCCACAGCATCCCTCACACATCTGGCATGTTTTTTTTCTTAAAAAGATAGTGCCACAAGTAAGGCAAGCCTGGAAGCAAAACAAAATTTAAAAGATATAGCATTGCTGCTTGTGTATGATGCTGGTGCCCAGAACATGAGTTCCACATTGTGCTGCACCAAGCACACACTCACTGCCTAAGAAAGCTTTTAAGCTCCAACGCAAAGCCCTATGTACCCATTCAGCTGTCCTACCCAAGCCCAACTTCATAGCCCCGTAAATTTATTATAGGGTATAAATGAGCAATGTTGTATTGTGTTGCAGTGAGGGAGATGGCAAAACACAAGACAAATCATATCCATTCTAAAAGCTTGCTTTTGCAAAGGTCAATGAGATTTCATACTCTTGGGGCCCTCCAGTTGCAGCGAAACCCTTTGTGTAGTAAAACATATTTGGCTTTCAGAGAAGGAATTTGAACTGTAAGGAACAGGGCGCCTGGTGAAGAAGACCCCCCAGTGTGAGTGCAGCTATTTATTGACACGGCGCTATCAATAGGTGTGAAAGGAGAGGAACAGGTTCCTGAGTGATAACACGGAGTGTGATGGCCAGTGCGGGCGGTCCACTTTGTACTGGCGGATGCCAAAGATGGGCAATACTGAAGAAATTCGAATTGCAGGAGGGCTTTTGTCATATTCTGGATCATTGGCACATACTTCTTCTGTTTGACCCACTTTTTATAATATTACGGTACTTGCGACGAATTCGAGAGGTGGGGGAGTGGACTATATAAGCTCCTTGGGGGGTGTTGTCTCCAGTCACATCCCCCCTCGCTGTTGATGCAGCGAACGAGCAAATCTGTGTCGAAACACAAATCGAGTGTAAACCCATTTTTTTTGTTCTGTTAGTGAGGTTGTGTTGGCACGTAAGTTGGGTTCTACAATTGCAGGGTTGCTTGAGGCATTTGGCCTCGCAGGCGGAGATTTCCGAGATTGATGGCGATGGCTGTGACCAATACTTGGGTAGTGACCAATACCTTCTCTGGAATTAACGCTGTGACGACCGCATTGTCACTCCGTGGCTTGAGCACTAGACAAACGTTTAAGCTGGTGCTGAGAGCGGAGAAAGAAGGGAGGAGGGTTGGGATTGAAGCAAGCGCGAGTCAGGTGACAGTGCAGAAACTGACACCTGATGTGGGTCTGAAGCTCAACCCGGCGGAGGAGCTCCTGGAGCAATTTGCTTTGCAGCCCGCAATCTCTACCAGCAGGAAATCTGAGACCGAGGCAGTGAGGAGGTTATTCATGTGGGACGCACTCCCCAAGAGAGGTATATCTGAGTTATTTAAGGCTTACGATGTGTGCTAGTCACTTGTTTTGTGGTCTTTCGCAGCAGAGAACGATATAAACACATCCAATAATTTGCGGTACTAACAGTCAATGCTTTCCCAATTCTTGTAGAGGAAGTGCAGCTATTCAGTGTGTATGAAATCAACGAGCGCGATCGCAACAGTCCTGCGTTTTTGCCGTTCAGCACCATCAACATTTCTAAGCCACAGGAGAATGGGCTGCTTGGTGGCCTGCAAAACATGTGGAGCACACTGTCGGGCGACCATGAACATGGGCTCGGTGATTTAGTGCCCTTCTCTAACAAGGTGTGTGTTCTGAAAAACCGCTTCACCTTATTGTCTATGTGCTCATCTAATTTACGAAAATTTGTTGCGCACTGTCCGTCCCTTGTTTTGTAGCACTTGTCATTGATTTCGGTGATTGCAACGAGTTTCTTACTACACTTTTCATACTGTGCGGCACAGTTGTACGACAGTTCTTTGCAAGTGAGATTGGGGGTTACTGCGGGTATGGCAATGGTTGTGAAAGCGTTTCCTGGAAAAGGCCAAAAACATCACACTAAACACAATTTCTTTTTCCCTGATTGCTACGAGGCGACGTACACATTCTACTTGGGAGACATGGGCCATGTGTCCGCGCAGGTACACACCCAATATCCTGATAAGTTCCTCGTGTCACTGAATTCAAGAGCCTGTTGTTGTAAATCTTTAGTACAATTCACGGAGGCACTGACTCTGAAATCAAACCAGCGACCGAACACATTTAGCTTACCAATCTCAGTGAGGATTTGTGTAGGACAGAAGCATTCACCCCTGAGCAGTGGTTGAAATTCCTCGATTAATTGTGTGCAGGGTCCCTTCTCAACTTTTGATGACACTCTGTTAACCATCACGGGCGGAGCAGGACTGTTCCGGGAGGCGAGAGGGGTGATTCATCTCCATAATATCACACCTTTCAAGTTGTTTTACACATTCCATGTCCGAGGGGTGCCCGAACTACCCAGAATTCTGACTTCAAAACCTGTCGAACCAAACGAACATGTGCAACCACGCCGAGAAGCTGTTGCCTGCAAACCTGGTTTTGCACTCCCCAACTACACTGACTAATTCTTTGGATACCACTCTAGTTGCTAGAATCAGGGCAGACTGCACTTAATACATTCACTGACATCACAGTAGACGATTCGGGCCCTTCCTTTTTCCCCTAAAACATTCACTTGTGTAAATTATTTTGTATAAATAAAATTTATGTGTTACATTTCAACCATGGAATGCACCGTTTTCTGTGCTCTGAAGTTTGGATACAACAAAGGGTTTCTTAAGTTAGTGAATCATTACAAGTTTATGCAGTGATAGAAGCATGGATTCATCTTGAGCTGATGTTGCGTTACCGACAATGGGGATGAGTATTTCCCAAGGTTCCTGTGCACCACATTCCTGAACCTACTTTGCAAGAGAATATCAAACAGAGGGTGCATAATCAACTTTGTTGTGTCTGCAACTGAAAAAACTGTTGCGCATGAACAAGAGTGCATAAAGAATAGTTGTCAAGACAAATGTTGAATCTTGTGGAGGTAAAGAAGGTGGTCTTTAACTTTCTGTGTCAGAATAATATTCTGTGCTATTCACTTATATCTGTTTAATAACAGCTAACAAAAACCAGTTTGACTATGAGTGAGAAAATAGTCCTACGTTTTCTATTTGAAATATTAAATTAGAGACCCTGAACTATATATTTATATATACAGCTGTAGAAACACTGTGAACTGTGGTTTATCCAATTTACCAGATAATAAGAGAAATGCTGTATGAAAACAACAATGTTGAGAAAAAACTTAGGATGGCCTTGCTCTTATCTTCATATATATTAACTATTAAGAAGGCCTTGTGGAAGCTTCCAAAGAACCATAAGGCTTGTGGTCCAATCCTTCAGTTGTAGGTTACTTCCAACACTACTTCCTAAAAGTACAAAACTTATGAAACAAGTATCAATAGTGATGTGGCATACCTATGGAAATCTAAAGATTTGATCAATATCTAACAAATTTCCTTGAAGTTTCTTAAAGAAGATATTATCTACCTAATATATTCTATATTCTTCTATTAACTTCTAATTACTTAAGTAATATAACCATCCATTGTACTTTGATTGAGCAAAGAAGAATATAGTTCTTAAAAAAGATATACTACAAAATCAAGGAATCAATAAATATAAGTGATAAATTATATCCAATACTATTCTCACTCTTAGATCTATTTATGGACATCTTAAGGTTATACAAAGATCAAACATTAATTACTTGTTATTATAGAGTATCTTTTTTGTTAATGATATTATTACTAAGATGATAAATAGATAATTAATATAGTATTTTTATACTTTGATATACTTGATTGAATGCTTAATAATTGATTTGAACTATTGTATCTTAAAACATGTTTCAATTCTTTTTTAAATTGTTATTTTTTTAACTAAATAAGTATTATGATCTTATTAGAATTTGTTAATTACTTTTATAATATTAGAATATATATAGAAAATATTAGAATTCGTGTAAGTAATGTGAGAATTTGTATAGGCATTAGATAGAGAAAAGGTCAATGAATTTTTTGTAATTGATCAAGTGTATAGTTTTAAAAGCACTAGTTTGATGTAATTCTGTGCATTTATTCAAATTCTGTGCATGTATTCAAATTCTCGAGCATGTATCTTTGATGCTTACATTTAATGCCAAAGCACCAACAAATTTAATCCAACATGAGAAATCAACTAAAGAACAATATATTATACAAGAAGTTAAAATTAAGCATGCACTTCATAAAATTGAGCTTATAAATATAAAACAGGACTTGTGTTGTATGTAAAAAAAAGTGCCCTATTACTATGATCCTTAAGAGATGTAATACTTACATGGTTAAAAAAACCATTGCTTTTCAAATTCTTCAAACTTTTCCAACAAAACCACCCAAGTACTACTACCACTTTAAATACCTTATTTCAATGAGATCTAGAATAGCAACACATATCAACTTCTATCAACTATAAGATACAATATTTTTCTAATGATTTCAAACTTCACAACAAAGGATTCTATTTATAGCCATTTCTAATACCATTCTTATTTTTTTAAAATCATCAAAAAAAAACATGGCATGGTAAACCTCTTCTAAATCTAAGAAAAAAGACTTACTCAAATATGCAAGCTACATTATAAGAGAATACTAGAAGTTGCATAAAGCATTGCAATCTAGTTAAGTCTTGCACAAAAATTTAGTCAAAGTTGTTTCAACTTATGTTTTTGCTTCTCTAGATCTACAAGAGAGTATAAGAGATCAATATTACTGGAGATCACCACATTGCTTAGTGGATCTAAGCTATGCCAAATTTTAGAAACAATTTGCACTTGAGCTTTATTAGTGCACAAAGCAACAAAGACAATAAAGCAAAAGATATCTCATTAAGAGACAAATATAATACTTTAGCTCACTTCTTATCTATACTACTTTAAAAAAAAAAACTTTGTTAAGCTACACCATACAAGATACAACATGAAGATATGTGGATTACCATGGTTTTTGGTTTCTACAACAGGAGACATTTTTATTTAATTTTGTATTATTGGCTTAAATTTATGTATATTTATTTCAGTATTATAAAAATATTACTTTTATTTCAAAAACTATTGTATTATCTATGTATAAACTACACTATATATATATATATATATATATATATATACTTATTTATCACTACAAATTTATATTTATACATATAAGTTTTTGTTTATGTATATTTTAAAAATAATTTGATAAATAAAGTAATACATCTATGATTTTTTTGAATGATTTTTTAATCATATTTATTTTTTTTAAACAATTTATTTTAAAATTTGACTTACTTTCATGAATATTTTATTAAAATTCAACTCATTGTTTCTATAATACTATGATTTTTTTAAACTTGTGAATTCTATTTCTCTTTTTTAATAATTTTTGATTAAATTTAGAAGAAATATTTATTACCTACATATCTTTGAGAAGACATAAATTGGTTCTAAATGGTGTCGTAAATGTAAATTTTCATATTACATCTACTAGCTCCTCTTACATAATTTGTGACTATGACATGGTGTTCTTAATTTATTTTATAATTATGAGAATATTATTAGAAATAAATTGTTACAATCAAGATAAATGCAACCTTAGCATAAAGATAAAGTATCTTATAACTTATCAAAGTAATCCAAAACTTAATAATTTTGGTTTTTTAAAAGTCAAGTTTAAGAATCTAAATTATTTTAATTGATATAATTAAAGAACCACAATTACAATTTTACATATATATATATCTTTAATTTACAATAATAAGATAAAATTTAATATTAAACTTTAATTATAATAAACCAAAGAAAGACATCCAAATCATTATAGAAAGGCATGTAAAATAAATACAATTTAAGAAATAGATTAATAAGTTTGATGGTGATATCAATCTAGTTTCTTTGATACTTAGAAGAGGTATTTTCATTGGTCAAGATTTTAGAAAGTTCCTAAAGTTTCAAAAAAAATCTAAAATTTTTATAAAGGTTTCAAAAAAATATATTGAGTGATTTATAAAGAAACATAATTTAATGTCTATAGAATATAATTTATAATTTTTATTTTCTGTTAATTATTCCAACTTAATATATAATCTAATGTAATAAAATATAATTATTTAAATTTAATTGATGAACATATATATATATATATATATATATATATGATAAGATGTACATTTATTTGAAAGTACTTTTTTTATACATGTAATTATTTATTTTAATAATTCTAAATATCATATATGTAAAAGATGTCTTTCTAATTTAGGGAGAAGATAAGTAGACACAACTTTTAAATTTTTCAATTACTTGAAGTTAAGGTGCCTCACTTAATTGGGTTTGTACTCGAAAGAATTAATTTGAAAGTTATAAAATTAAAAGATGAGGTGGAATGTATTTTTTTATTTTTTTTATTTTTCGTACATGGCATACTATAAACAATATTGTCTCCTAAATTGTGAGATATATCCACCTCAAAAAGATTGATTTTGCTAATAACTTGAGTTAAAAAAAAATGATAAAACTGAACATTAAATATAAACTCATCAATTTTTTTAATGAATGTTACGATTCTTCGAATTAAAATATATGTTGATGTATCTAGGCTTATAACATAAAAAATTGGTCCATTGTATGATCTCTTTTTGATTTATGTTATCTTTAAAAACTAGGACTTCAAATTAAAGTTTTTCTTTAGAAAAAAAGGAGGAGGCTTTTGTACCATGGCATCTCAAAAGAAACTGCCAAATATAATAATTTTTTTAAAAAAAATTAGAAGTAAATTGCTTTGAAGTAATAGACATTATAACTTTGATTTAGAACAGTTAAAAACTTTAATATACATACATACACACACACACATATATATATATATACATATATATATATATATATATATATATACATATATATATACACACATATATACACACACACACACACACACATATATATATATATATATATAGATACATACATACATACACACATACACACACACACATATATATATATATATATATATACACACATACACACACACGCATATATATATATATATATATATACATACACACACACATTATCATTAATACAAAATAATAGTACCTCTACTACAACAGTCATCAACAATACTCATGTTTTCAGTACAATTAAGAAACATATAACAATACATTTTACATTGCATTTTCCGCATCTTGCCTGTTTTAAGTCCAATTGTAGTTGAGTCAAAAGTAATGTTCGATCACATAGATTGTGAAATTCCACTTCACAAGCACATGGAACATTAATTTCCAAATTTAAGAGAATTCAATTTCCTATTTTCATTTTAATATTATTTTAATTTTATTTTTCATATTGAGGTACGTTCAACATTTCAAAAATATTTTGACTTTATTTTTACTTTCATTTTGAGAACAGATACAAATAAAGTCGAAGCCCAAACCTGCAAGGAGCCAGTAACCAGATAATCCGGATAACAAGACAACACACCACCAACCTTCGTGCAGACCCACTGGGCGAACAAGATGACTGGTAAGAGTCCCAAAATAGGAAAATCGGTAAATCGACCACAATGTGACAATTCAAGATGTTTCATAGATGCATTTTATAGATTAAAACATACAGTAGTCACGCTCTAGTAGACATGACCAACACGCAGAAATAATTCAGATTCTTTGTGCCCGATGACCTATACATACGCATCCTAGAAGATACGAGTTAAACCTTGTGCTCCTTCGAAATATTCACATACACTTCCCACTACGAGCAAGAACTTGGGAAGTATTAAAGTATGAATCAACCAAGAAAGTCGTAATACTGGTCATATCCTACTTCAAAACATTCATAACCCTTGTAGATACGACCCTTGAGTTCGTGAAACAGCTTCAAGTTATCGACTAATTTGTGAAATACATCGCACCCTTCGCACTGCAACATCACCCACATGCTACAAGTCTCAAAAGGGAAAGTAGAACATGAAAGTTGATAGTGTGCACAAGTAATGAAAATCCTAAGAAGCTACACACTAATTTTAATTGGATCCACAGAACTGAACAGACTTGAATAATTGAACTAAAGCTTTCTGCTAACATTATGATCATAAACCTCACATAAAGTACAAGAAGAGCACCACAACGCATATGTCAGACGAGATACCTAAACCAACACAATCATTAAACGGCATATTCAACTCAGATTCTAGGACAATACGCAGACGAACAGATGTATCCAGTTGAGTAAGTTGGCAACAGAACTTTGATAAATTCATCATACAAAAAACATTAAAAAAAAAAAAAAAAAAAAAAAAAAAAAAAAGAGGGGGGGGGGGGGAGAAAGAAAAAAAGAAGAGGTAATAAGATCACCTGTACAAAGACTGTGCCATCAGTGTAGGCATGAGGATTAATAGCTCGAATCGAGCGGTGGCCACATACGTTACATGTGAAAGCCACACGCATGCGTCGCCTGGGCGACTTGCTGAAAATAGGGCCCGGCATTTCATTTGCAGCCTCCTCCATTGGATAAGATGGGCCTTCTAAGCCAGAACCTGTTGTCCAACCAGCTGTTGACCCAGCGGCATTCAAAATGATTCCCATTGCCTCATCCTGTAAATCAAGCTTAGTGTTTCAGCTCATTTCCGTAGCAATAGCAACTGACTCCATCAATTCACTTGAATACTTAAGCAAAAGAACAGGTAATAATCTGTACGTGATTGCTACACGCAAACCTTCCTGTTGCAGAACATGTAAGCTATCAAAGCACTCTTTGCGTTTAAGAGCATTACAGACTGTAATAGCTCCTAATACCATTATTAACCCAGCAAAACCTTGTCAACTTGAGCAGATGCCTCTAGATCTATCGTATAGTCAAGAACACACAAGCCCGAAATAAATTGTTGAGAGCAACCTTAAATTGTTGTTTTCCATGAAATTCTTTTTTAGTAACGACTCGACTGCAATTTTCATGTAGATTCATCTCTGACAATGTTAACATTTAGTCAGCATTCAACTCACCTTCGATAGGGTCTGCAAAGATGTAGACAACGACGACACAACAATAGCACCTGCCTCAGGAGAAATCTCCTCTTTGTCCAGGGAATCAGGAGAGACCTCACTAGCGCCCGCCTCCGTTTCCGAATCTGCCATTCACAGACTCCATCAGTGCCTCCATACTCGTCTGACTGCCGGTGCTTCGTACCAGCATACTATTCTAGCTTCACGCAGTAACTTTGACCACCATTCAAAAATGTTATTCTTCTCAATCGCGTAAATCCGGACCCTAAAATCTTCGTCTCCCGAATCCCACCTCAATTCATTTTTGTCAAATCACTCTAGAAAATCGCGTGAAAACCAAGTTCACCAATCTGTGCTCTTTGACGGTCTGAAAAAGCATCTCAAACAGCTCGAGTACTATACGTAACCCGAGAGCTTTTCTTAGCAAGAAAAATACATTTGATATCATCCTTGCAACGAAATTTCACACAAAAAACAATTGACCATCGAAACACTTCATAAACATAAGCACTAAATTTAATCATAACCACTCAGTGTCTAAATTTCACAGTTTGAAGGGGAACCAAAAATCAAGAAAAAATAAGTAAAAATAAAAAAATCACCAGAGTAAGCAGGCTCCTCAAACGCATCATCAAACCGTTGGGACGCGGCACCGACGATCGGAGACAGCAATTTCATCTTCTCAGACCGCAAAAACCCTAGCCTGTCCCTCAACTTCATCTCCCTGCTGCCATTCACCTTCAACTTCGACCACGAGCAATGTTCATGAGTTGTCCCAAATCCGCATACGCGATTCGAATGCAGCGCACACGAATCCACACCCCAGTATCTCGTCCCGACTTGCAATAACACCGCTCCTGTCGCCATGACTGGTGCGAATTGGTTCGCAAAAGCCCTGACACTGAACCAACGTGCTCCAAATTGTGCTTCCAAACACAGCCGATTGATCCCGCGGTGCTCCCAAAGGGCTGATCCCAAGCTGATTGGGACAACGCGCACTAGCCCCGTGGTTCCACAGATTCGCAGTAACAGAAGCAACTGGGGAGCAGGAGATTTCTATTATCGCCGAAATGGTGGTGCAGGGCCTTCACGCACACGGAAAAGGCTGAATGAATCGACGGGGTTGTCCCGTTGTGCTGACGTAGATATACCCCATTGGATATTGTGAATATATCTGGCGTGGCATCCTCGCCCAGCCAAACGGCGTGAAACAGAATCTCCACGTCAGCTTTATCGTCCCTCCACCGAACGATGGAGTTCGTTCATCCGGCTAGTGTCACTAAAATAAATACATGATATTTGTGATTACAACTCTTGATTGGGTATTAAATGTTCCTGTATGTCAAATGGATGTTTTTATACACCGCATTAAAATTATACTTTCTTTCTTGTAGGGAATTGCTAAATTGACCCACTTTTTTACCAAATCAACTTTTTTACCCTTTTTTATCTCATATTAAATGATAGCAAAGTATTGCACAAGTGGAGACATCTTCACAACGTGATCAATTGCAATTTGAAATTGTGGAAGGCACACTACAAGGATCTTTGCAAAGATGTATAATATGTAAATGTACTAGACATAATTCTTATACTTGCCTTGAATGCCCAATTTTTCAAGTCCTAGCACTACAATAAACTTTCCTACAATTTTTGATTGATTTAGCAATTTCAATTATTAAACCAAGGGGTTGAGTTGATTTAGTAAAATGGATGAGATTGGAGGGGGGTGGGTCAATTTAGTAATTTCTTTTTTCTATTGTTGTCTTGAATTCATATGAGTATGCATGTGCAATTTTTAAATACTATTCTATTTTTAATCTATTAATCTTTTTCTTGCCAAACATATTGAAACTTACTAAATATAAAATTTGACTTTGTTCACATGTATATATATATATATTATTTTGTACATATATTAAAAAAATCTCTTAAATAATATATATTAGACATCTTAGGTATAACACAAAGAGACAAAAGAAGTCTTTTGATTGATAGTGAAGAAGAAAACATGAGAAACTTGGGGGACATGGGAAGCAAGAAACTAAGGAACAAGGGAACATGGGAACAAGAGAACATGCGAAGCAAGAAACTAAGTAACAAGGGAACAGGGGAACAAGGGAACATGGGAGCATGAACAAAAGAGGGAATGGATAGATATGCCAAAGATTACAGTTACTATTTCTATTATTAAGAATACATCACTATTTCTAATATATTTTTAAGCCATTTATGGCATTTAGACCTCTTTAAATGTATGTATGTTTATATATATATATATATATATATATATATATATAATTTATTTATTATTTATCTTATTTATTTAATATAACTTTTAGAATTTAAATCATGATTTGTTGAAATTGATTAGCGAAAATTCTGATATCTCCAATTATTATTTTGATTTTTAATGTATTTTGAATCTATTTTTTTTATTTTAGTTTATCTTTAATTTGTATTAAGCATTTCTGAAACACTATGTAATATATAGATTTATATTGTTTATATAGTAAAATTGGGTAATGTCACATTAATTTATTAAAAGCAGAGTATAGAAAACTGAATAATAAAAATACTTGTTTGTTTTAAACATTATAAATATACATTTGAAGTAGTATATTTAATAATTTTTATTTCTGTTTTATATTTTTTTCTTACAGTACGTGACAATTAATATTATAAACTGAAGCTTTGCATTATGAATTACTCAATGAATTATTAAACAAATTAGTATGTTTGTATAAATGCATCATGTCTTTAATTAATTCATGTTGTTGTTAATTTTGTAATTTTTTTGATTTTTTTAATTTGAATTTTTGTTTTATATTTTTATGTTTTTAAATATTAATATATGAATTGATTTTAAAAAATTAATATTCAAACCAAAAATGATAAACATACATATTTCTACATTATAATATGATAGTTCACTTTAATTATTTGGGAATTAAAAAAAAATGTTGCATCACTAATCTATTTCCAATAAGAAAATGTACAACATACTTTACTTTTTATAATTATTAATGGAAAATTGCTAACTTAATCTACCTTTTTACTACGTTGATCTACTCCACCTCCTGTTGATCCCATAACTAATTGCAGCAAAGTATTGCACAAGTGGAGACATCTTCACAACATGATCCATTGCAATTTGAAATTGTGGAAGGCACAGTACAAAGATCTTTGCAAAGATGTACAATATGTAAACGTACTAGACATAATTCTTACACTTGTCTTAAATACCAAGTTTTTCAAGCCTCGTCACCAGAATAAACTTTCCTACAATTCTTGATTGATTTAGCAATTTCATTTTCAAAACCAATGGAATTGAGTTGATTTAGTAAAGTGGATAGGATTAGAGGGAGGTGGATTGATTTTGTAAAAAGATAGATTGATATAGTAATTTTCTTATTTTTAAACTAGAGTTTTTAAATACAAAATCAAAAATCATAATAATCTAATCAACCCATTTTATTCTATACTTTTAACTAAATATAAAACAATTAGCAAGGACCAATAATCAATCCTCTTAAAATGGTAAATTTTATGAGTTTAAAAGTACAAGGTATTATAATTTTTTTGTTGCTTATTGTTGAATTCCAACTATGTCTTTATTAATTAGAAATCTTAATTACAAAACTATAACTATTGAAAGTAATTCAATAAATTTCTATAGTAAATTTAATTAAATTCAAAATTTTAATTAATAAAATTTTAATTAATTTATAAATGTGTTTTGATTTAGAATTGAAATTTACACACATATTAGATAAATGAAAGATGTTTTTAAAAAACTTATGTTGTAACCAATGCTTTAAGTTTTTAAGAAAGAAACTATTATAAATTTAATATTTCAAATAAGAATCTTTTAAAATATAAAGTAAAGAATATGTTTCACAAGTTAACATTACCAAAGATAACCTTCTTAAAATTTCAACTTAAAAAATACAAGTAAATAAGGTGAATTTTCTTACAAATTCAAGTACATTTCTCAATGAATACTTTACGTAACAAAAAAAACATTTGCATCTGCGGTTTTAATAATTATAACATAATAGTTTACAACATAAACTAACTATTTAAGTAAATCTTTGTGAATAATGTGTAAATATGTAGTAAAATGCCAATATGATAAATCATTTTTGGAAAGTCATGATCTTTGTTTATAAATATGAAAAACTAATCGTCTTGTTCATAACACTCAAGTATGTATGTATGTATTTATTTATTTATTTATTTTAAAAAAAAGTAACAAACAATATTTTGAATTCACTCCATTCCTTGAAGCAATGGTAGGTACATGAAATGAAACGAGTTCTCGTGGCCAGGGTTGGACCGTTATTTGGCTTCTCATTGTATTACAGCGTTTTTGAGATCAACCACGACTGGGACGTCATTGTTCAAGCGACAGATTCCTGAAGCAAGCTTCGTGCTTCAGACTGAGCGGTGAGGCCATCTTTGAGCTTCAAACTTGCGGTTGCTCACGCGCTTGTAAGTCCGAGTGGCGGAACTTTTACTCCACTCCTTGAAGATGTTCGCTCTTTTAAATCGTGATTTGGTTATCAGTGCTAAGGATTTCAAGGGACAATTCGTGATACTGTATTGGTGGAATGTCAAGGAGAATGGTTAATTGTGTGCGCCGCAAGCTTACAAGTAAGAAGAGCGATTTCATGAGAGTTGAGCAGGTTCGGTTGTAATATCGGTGGAAGTTTTTACAGTGTATGAAATTTTGTTAGGTCGAACATGCTGCACTTTCCTCTTGTTTGTCTCTGTGAGTCGTTGTGGTTAAATAATGTAGGGTACTATTCCAGGCTTTGGACATGTACGACAAATGTTGTGAGTAACGTCCATGGTTTGACAATTTTTTAGAAATTTTGTGAGAGACTCAGGCTGAATTGAATTTTGGTCCGTATAGAGTGAAAAAGCAGTCACTATTCTGTGTTCTATCGATCTACTCATTGAAATTCCGTAACAGGCCATCGACGTTGAAACAGCATGGAAAATCTTATCTGAAACAAGTAAGATTTAAGCTCCATTATTCTGCTCTATGTGAGTACTGGTCGACATTTGCTTGGCGATTCCTTGAGGTCTTTCTGTGTAAGGTCCATCTGGTTGTACTTGCAGTGTACGATTGTCTTAGCTTCTGCTGCTGATGCCAATCGTCAGAACCAGATTCGTGTTGACGTAATTTCAACTCGCGACACGTGATTGATTTCGCTGACACTCGCCTGTTTGCGCAGATTCACAATGGATCCACGTCTCGATCCCGACTATTTGAAGCCCGTTTCGCTTTTGCCAACAGCTTTTCAAAGTGTCTTTCCTTTTAGGTGCTCTTATTTAATTATTCTGTAGGTCACTGTAATGAACTGGTTAAGTCTACTGGAAGAAAACGCACTTATTATCGACATGATTGCCAAATTAGACGCAATTTCGCATATATATTCTTCCGACCATACTCATTTTTTCTACGGCATCTGATTTATACAGATATTTCAACGCTGTTCAGAGTGAAAGTTTTGCTGAAGTTTTCCTCTCAGATGACAACTTAGTAATCTCTGCTCCCACTGGCAGCGGAAAGACCGTCCTGTTCGAGCTATGTATCCTAAGGCTTCTAGAGAAATTTTTGACGACCGAAGGTCACTTCAAGCATGTTTCTGGTGCTCGAAAAGCTGTAAGGATCGTTGAGTGTTTGCATTATGTAGCGGTTGTTACAATTCAGATCTTACAGTTGCACATGGTGTTCAAATTGGGACAAGTTTAAGCCATTCCATAAACGTTTGGAGCATCTCTTTTCTAATATTTTCATGTAGATGTCCCTCAGCTGCTGTATATAGAAAGTAGTAATAACTTTATGCATTGAGTCAGGAATGTCATTTGATCCGATAAAGTAATTTACTCTTTATCGTCTTTCAAATTTTGGTCATCTCCAGAATCTGCGTGAACTGAATATCACTAACTTCGTTCATTAAAATTCTTGCTGCGGCAGGTATACATTGCACCAATGAAGGCTCTTGTGCAAGACAAGCTCCGAGACTGGACTCTGAGGTTCAGCTCTTTGGGCGTAAAATGTCAGGAGTTAACCGGTGACTCAGGACCAACAAATGTTGGAGAAATGATAGATACAGATATCATACTGACCACTCCTGAGGTAACGTTTAATTTTTTTCTTCAATGCCGTTTTTGTTGGTGCTGTTGCTGATTGTGTTTCCCGTCGGATTGTGTTTTTCTCTGAACTAGGATATGACAAACTAATTTTAGGATCTAACATGGATATATAAAAGTTGGCATTGGTAGTAATTTTTTTAAATCATTGCAATACTTGCTCTCCCTCCCTGATCATCAAGTAGAATACTTCTTTTTCAAGCAGATCCTGCTCTGTTACAATGCAGAAATTCGATGTCATTACTCGGAGACATCGTGACCGTGGAGGAATGAGCTTTTTCGGAGACATTGCCCTTATCTTGATTGACGAAGTCCACCTTCTCTCTGAAACTCGCGGTGCAGCCCTTGAAGCAGTTGTGAGCAGGCTGAAGATGTTGGCTCGGTTTCCCGAAATAAAGGGATCCCCACTATCAACTATACGCTTTGTTGCAGTTTCAGCGACAGTTCCAAACATTGAAGATTTGGGTGGCTTCTATCACTCCTTCCCTTCATCGTAAAAGTTGATCTTGCACTTCTGCTTATAGGTGTATTGTAAGAGTTCTGCATGTTACTTTGAGGTGGTTGACATGGATTAAGACTCAGAACAGAAGCATGAATAGCAACAACAATATACATTAACATTTTAAAAAGCTGAGAGGGTTTGAGATTGTTTCACTGAAACAGTCACGATAAATTACTTGCTGTATTGCTTGGTCTCTGAGAAAAGAGTGATCACTGCTCCCATTGGTAGCATCTGCTATACTTCTGAAGCGTACGTGTCCGATTAAGATTAAAATAATGCACATATCTAATAATCATGATCTGTGATGTCAACTAACTTACCTGTACTTCACGTTATGTTACCTGTTACGGCACGGCAGCGGAATGGTTGCATGTACCCAAAAATGGCATGAAAAGGTTTTTATGCAGCGCTCATACAAAATCACCAATGTTGTTTTCCCCCTTAATTTTTAAAGCAACTTATGAATAGCAGCAAAATGTACAGGTGATCTAGTTATTCTTTAAGTTACAGTATTATGTGACACACTGCCCTGTAATGGTAAACGCTTCAGATTATATTCTCCAACCGCTGGACTTACGTGCGACTCGTTTGAGTTCAGATTTGGGGAAGAATACCGGCCAGTGAAACTCACAACTACCGTTCTTGGTACGTTATTCTTACTTCCTATCTTGATTAGATTCCACTAGAAAATTTTGGGAAAAATGTTATTGGTATCAGAACTGTACCTATGATATGCTAATGCATCCTTGTATGCCTTAGAAGAAGTGTTTATTCACCACCTATCAATAGCGGAGGTATATTAAAATTGAGGTCAATTCCTCCTCTCCCAATCAGACACAAAGGAACTTAAAAGAGTTGTTTCTTTGCAGGGTACCAGCCTGCCAAGAACGATTTCTTGTTTGAAAGGGTATTTCTATAATCACTCAATAATCAATTGCATGTGAATTTTTTTACACTCTTATTGCTATTTTGTCAAGCTATTGGAATTAATAGCTTGAATTCGGTTTCAATGAGGTAAGGTAACATCATTAATCATGCATACGTCCATGCTGTCACAAGCTTGTTAATTTAAGGGATTGTAAATCAACAGCATTTTCTTTACTGCCTATTATCAAATCATGTGTGGACCTCATTCGTTTTAGAAGATAAAAAAACATGAAGGGGAACTGTACAAAAAAAATGTCTTGCGTCTTTTAGAAAGGACTCAGCGTGTGTCCTAGTTATGTTTGCCGTAAAACTAAAGAAGGCTTGCCATAGAACCTCTGATTTACTCACAGGTTAAAGCTGCTTTTAGCCCTTAATTTGCAAGTTCTTATCCGAAATCTTTGTGTGGTGATTTTCATGTTTAACAGAGACTTCAGCAATACCTTTTAGGTGAGAAGCTGCGAGTGCACGCACACTTGACCTCACAATGTGCACAATTTCATCCCATTGTGATTAGCCAATTCCTTCCAATTACTGGACAGTAGACCTCTCCAGCGACTTAAAATCAAATTCCGCTACAATGCAGATATATTATTGCATCATTCGGAAGGAAAGCCATCGCTTGTGTTCTGCTCAACTAGAAAAGGAGCACAAGACACTGCAGTTGCCCTGTCTCAATCCGTGTCACAACATGGCAATCATAATCCCTTTGTCAAGAACTTGGAGCACTTTAAACGACTACAATTGGCAGCCCAGAGGACAAATGATGTGCATATGCAGCAGTGCATACGCAGTGGAGGTTAAGCACTCTGAACTTCTTGGAATATCATTTTCAGAGCAATGGAAATCTTGTATTGAGACGAAATATTTGTCACATTTTAGTGATTATCAGTAACAGTTATAAAAGGATTTGAGCATAATGACGAGGGCTTTCTTTTAGGGCTCGAGAAGAGAACAACCGATCAGATCTGACTTCTGATATAAACTTTAATAGAAATAGCCCCTAAGATCAGCTGTAAAATGTACTAACTCGTCTTCTCATTTGGTGTAGTTGGGTATCACAATGGTGGACTTTCAATGGAGGACAGAGGTCTTATCGAAGGGCTATTTCTAACGGGAGATCTTTTAGTGCTTTGTACGACAAGCACATTAGCACAGGGTGTAAATCTGCCAGCTCATGCAGTTATTATCAAGTCTACTCAGTATTAGTAAGAGCCTCAAGAGAAAAGTTGCAACTGCGGATCATGTCATGCATTAAGTATATCAGTTAAATTCTAGCGACCAAAATTATATCTTAAAATAAGAGCAGGAACACCATTCCGTGGTTCACTAACTTTCCGAAGCGTTCATCCGATTTGTACCTAAGTCATATCATGGAGTGACGAAACATCTTTTTTCATGACTTTTTCATTTTGGATTGCTAGAGGGGTTCGGAATTATCCCTAAAATGTTCCTTGTTCCATTCTTTCAGTAACAAGCTCAAAGGTTGCTATGTCGAGTACGAACGTTCGGCAATATTACAGGTGCTGTCACTTGCCTTTTAGCGCCTCGTAGAACCAAGATTTGTAGCATATTTTTTCTTTGGTTTATTTCTGCAAGGAAATAGATTGCAATTGCCTTGCGTACTACTAAATTGTAGTTTCAAGACACAGCATGACACATGTTAGAAACACAAAGAGCATGTTTGCACCCAGAACTTGACCATAAATTTTATTCTTCAGATGAGTGGGCGAGCAGGTAGACCACAATTTGACGATAGTGGCGTGGTCGTTATAATGACGAGAAAAGATAGTGTAAGTATGTAGGTCGTGATTCCTCATTGTGTTGAACGTTCAAGCGCTCATTATATTTGCTTTGGTTCTGCTGATGAGGGAGTCCTTCATCCTTTAATTACTGTTCAATATAAGAGGTTGTCGGGAGATTTCTGAACACCGAATTGGCTAAGTTTGCTAAGTGATCTTTTGTGATGAATTAGGAAATAAATTTGACAGATCAATTTAACAGTTTCATTTAATCTTTTCTTCTAGGTACATTTGTACCATAATCTGCTATCTGGGTCGGAACCAGTGGAGTCTCAGTGAGTTCCTCAACATATAATTTTTCCAACTTTATGTGTTAAAATGTTTCTGGGTTTGTCAACTCGAGTTAAATTTTGCAATTCATGTGACATTTTTTATGCAGGCTACTCTCTTCCATTGTGGAGCATTTGAATGCGGAGATAGTGCTCATGACTGTATCTGATTGTAGTCAAGCTATTGACTGGCTTAAATGTTCATACCTTTACGTGCGCATCAAGAAGGTACGATAATATGACACTAACTGCCTCTCCTAGTGTTTCCGGGGACCATGGATTTGTAACAATGTCTCAGACTGACCTGACAGGATATGATATGATTTTTCTTTGTAGAATCCACAATATTACTGCGTCAAGCAAGGAGTTCCACGAGACCAGCTTGAAAACAAGTTAAAGGGTAATGCTCTGCCAACGTTGACGCTACAGCTCTATTTGAGTTTCGACAGTGGCCACTGGACTTAAGAAGTATTTCGCGCAGACATCTGTGTGCAGAATGTGAACGAGCTTGCAAAGTATGGCATGGTTAAGACAGACGAGTTTGGTTATGTTTTAACACCACTAGGTATGAATTCTGCTCATGGTTTAAAAATGGTAACTGTTTAGGCTAACGATTATTTTCTTTTGTCTGAATATGAGTGCGATGAAGTACCTGAAATTTGCATCCTGTCTAAAGATATTCTTGATTTTTTCATATTTAATGCAGAACCTGGACGGATCATGGAGAAGTACTATATGCAGTTTGAGACAATGAAAGCCATTACAAAAGCTGCAGAGAGAGCGACAATAGAGGAACTTCTTCATGTTTTGGCCAACGCTGCCGAGCTGTCATGTATATTGCGACCTTCATGTTGTAGAAGGGATTAATTTTGTGTTCTATTTTCTTCTAATCTGATTCTCAAAAGTAACTTGAATAAACTGGTCATTGCCAGGGATCAAGCTTCGACGGGATGAGAAAAAAAGATTGAATGATATTAACGGGGACATTAGTGGAAGAATCAGATACCATGTCAACAACTCAAACGGGAAGTTGAAAAAAAGAATACAATCAGGAGCAGAGAAGATATTTATACTAGTGAATGATGCTCTTTCTGGCGAGCCTTCTGTCACGGACTTCACAATGAGTCAGGTGGGGAATCACGAGGGCACTCACGAAGGTTGGGAGCTCCTACTTCCACTTCTTTCTTAGTTATCCACGATGAACCTCGCCTGGAGTTTCTTTCTCCTATTTCCACATTTTGTTCAGTCCACTCTTTTTGCAGGACATTAATGGAATTTGTACGACTGGCACTCGCATATGTCGGTGCATGAGCGAATACTTCATCTTCATGAAAAGGTTCACAGAGATACGAAACGCGCTTCTACTATCCAAATGCCTGAAGCAGCGACTCTGGGAAAGTACAAAGTATCAGCTTAAACAACTTGTTGGCGTGGGCCTGGTCACGGCTAAGGTAATTAAATGTTTGTATCTATGGAACATGCTGGCTCACATTGGCATCTGCCTGGTTAATAAGATCAAAGTTCTATTTAGTCTGGTAATTTCGAAGTTTTCACACTTGCTCCTAAGTGATGAAGATCATTTTCTGCATTTTCCATGTTAGATTATCCAATTGCAGTAGGACAAACCTCTGTCGTGTAATTTAAATCTTCGCCCATTTTGGCATTCTGTTTCTTGAAAATCCTTGTAAGTGATGAGATCTATTGATCAACTTCATGCAGGCTCTAATCACAGCTGGTGTAGATTCTTTCGAGAAGTTAGCTAGTGCTGATCCTCGACGATTGGAGGCTATTACTGGACGGAAGTTTCCATATGGAGATCAACTGAAAGCGTCTTTGAATGATGCTCCACCGAAGGTCGAAATGAATCTATTTGAAAGTGAAAGAGATGATCAGTGCCTTCTTACACTCCATCGAGTGTCACAATCACAGTCATCAGGAAAGAACTTTCACATGGCCGAATTGGTAAGGTCTTTAACCCATTGTAATTGCAAGACTTTTCCACTGGCAATCCGCAAGATGACTAATGCAACAACAATGAGTAGCAACACCGTTATCTCCACGCAGCTTTTCATCAGGAAGGAAAATCCATGAACATTTTATCATTAAAACCAAGAAACCTTTATCTGTATGATAAGTTGAACAATAATACAACCAAACTAGCAAAGCTAGCGACCTTATACATTGCTTTTGAGAACCATAATGCCTGCAGGTGGTGGGAAGTATGGCTGATAACATGTTAATATTTCGTGAAAGAATCAGGTACCAATTCATTGCTAAATCTCTAGATTATCATTTGGATGGAACTTAACCTATAATGATCAAATTTTCGTGTCAATCATCAGAGCTGTTCTCATTGCAATTGTGTCCTGTTTGACAGAATGGATCAATTTACGAGGTATGTCAAAGTCTTTTTCCATCTTGTCAGCAGAAGACTGGACATACCTTATTTTACGATCTGCGTTGGTCTTGTTTTTTGCTACGTACCTTGTTAATACGTGCTGCACATAACGGGACCAATCCTAAAGTGGGCATACTCCTGACAAATGAAAAGAGAGTTCGTGCAGTCCATATGCAGTGACTATTACATCCAGTTCACCCTCAGATGAGCCGCTTGTGCTTGTTGCTGCTCTCATTTCTGAGGAATACGGTAAGCGTTTATTTGAATTCATGTGCTTCTCTCTTGAGTACGGAAAGTCTCGAAAACACTCAAGATTGCTGTATTCCTCGGTAACACCTGAGGGGGTGCATCGCAGTTGGAGTTGACGTTGTTTGCAAATTAGTCATCAACAGAGATTCTAGGGATGACCAGCTGGGCTTGAATGAAGATTACAGACACCAAGGGCCACAAACTTCTATGACACGTTTCTACATATCTTCCCCATTTAAAGCATCCTTCAGTATTAATGATCTAGCCGCTTCAAGTGCGCGAAGTCATGCAACTTCTGTGATGTCTAGCCCTTTAATTAAAAATAAAACGCTAGATAGTCCTCGAGCACAACAAACAGCTGCCTCCAATATACCCATCATGGAAGCTCTCAGTCGTTATCCTTCAAGACATTCAAACCCTTGTCCAGCGACCTTAGCTACGAGAAATTTTCTGAACAAGATCGGCACAGACATCGATGCATCTGATCCTTTGAAAGACACTTTCCTGAGAACCCTACCAATTCCCGCGAAGACGGAATCAAATACGACACCTGGATCAGAAGTCCTAGCAACTTGTGTGATAAAGCCTTCGAAGTCTCCCTCCAGCAAGTCTGGTCATGCAGATCACTTTGATATCTTGACCACGCTCCAATCAAGTGACCTTGTTGAGACCTCGATTTGCAACTCTGTGCTCGTGCCAACTGAAACGTATGAGAAGTCTCCCAGGACATCTTCATTTGTAACTCCTAAACGAAAAGATCCACCCAGCTGTGCCCCGAGAAGACTTTTTCGTAGATTATGTACCAGATTTGAAGAAAATCGTATGACGACCTCACTGCCCTCGGCGAATGGCAAGACACCAAATCCTTCACAGAGTGAAGAAGTGTCTATCAAGTCTACAATGTGCAATGGAGGACCATGTTCTATGAATGACATAGGTAAGGCATCTCCCAATGCTTGATCCCAACCCATGCAATTTTAGAATTCATATCAAGGTAGCTTATCATATAGCAACCATTCGAAAATGAACCTTTTTCCGATATCTTTAAGCCACATAGCTATCTAAATTGTAGGTTTCACCGAGAATTATGCGGATCAAGCCACAACCTCTATCCCCAGGAACGACTGCGGTAGTGAAAAATCAACAAAAGTTACAACGCTTTTGTACAATAGTAAGGTAAGAACACATGACAATGTTGAGTTGCAGGCAGGGGTCGTGTCAGACATGACTCACCAGGATTCTGGGCCATCCGAAGATGTAACAGCTTCAGCTCCACCCTCTTTGACGAGCTTATCAACTACACCAGATCTTCTATCGTCTGATATGAGGAGAAAGATTCGAAGAACTGGATTTTCAAGCATTTCATGCTTTTCCTCTGTTAAAAATAATGATCAAAGAAATTCTATGGTGACGCTTAACATCGCGCAGCCTTCTAGTTGTCAACCCCGATGTCCTGATAGAAGTGATGAACCTCAGAATATTAAACATCGTTCCAGGATTTTACAATCTTTCCCTAGTAGGGCTCCTAGAGTCACTGATGCAGTTGCTCAAAATTCTCCTCACAGCAAGGTTTCTGATCAGTTAACCCCGTGGAGAGCAACTGCGGGGCTTATTCCCACTGGTAGTAGGTTAGTTTGTAGTTTCTACCTGCTCTACGTGAACTCGTAATGCTTTGTTTGAATTAGTTGAACTAGGTTGCTTTGTTCGGATTTTACCGGTTAGGAAACTTCTAATCAGTATTTAGCCGATCCTGACTTCCAAACTGTAAAATGGAATCGTGGTTGTAGATCTGAAGCCGAAGCAGAATCTGACTTGACAAATACAGAAACCATATCCAATTCATGTCAGCAGAAAACGTTATGGAGATCTCTTGATAATAATCATTTAACTAAAACGAATTGGTAATGTTCTTGATAGTAATTTGCAATTATTTATGTCCATATGCATGAAATTCAACGTGTAACGAAGATCTGGAATTGAATTCTTGTGATCATGGTTTCTCGCAGTGTTGGAGCGGCCAAGGAGCGAAACTCGTTTTCACAAGGTCCGAATAATATCAAAATAACAAGCTCCACTCGAAGGTATACCGCATCGAGGTTAAGTTTCCGTCTATCGGTTATTGCCATTACCTCACATTGACTACCGTTTGAAGCACTATATGCAATTTTCGTAGTCAGATATCTTCAGTTTGACCTCTTGACTAGTAGAGGTGATCCAAAGTCTAAGCTGGTGAGCAACACTTGAAGAACATGGCATGTACAGCCATTCCCAGTGATTTCAGCCGCGACCTGAACAATTTACACCGATCTGACAGTGCTGATGGTCTGATTGATAGATTAGAAGCTGCATCATGCGCCCTTATTGATAGACCTTTAAAGCAAATAGCTCCTTACAAGGCTTTAAAAAGCTTTGATTTTGGATCTTCGCGGAAACCTCCGCCCGACGTTGCCAGGTTAGACCTAGAACCGGTTACTTGTGTGATTTTTGCAGGTGCGACTCCAATTCTTCTTATCCTTACTATTAACCCGTTTCGTGCCATCTTTTCAGGGGTGTGAATCCTGCATCAGAGATTCCTGAGCCTTTAGATCAAGCAGCTTCAATCAGTAACACGTAATCTATTTTTGAAAAACAGTTGTGAATAGAACTTCCCACATTGTCAATGTAAAAGCACTGAATATCGGCAATAATAATGGTAATAATAATAATAATAATAATAATCATAATAAATAATTAAATGCACAAAGTGGGGGGTCAAAAGAGATTTTATTGCAACATGTCTTAAGAGTTCGATTGTCTTCTCTTTCTAGGAGGCTGAAAGCTGAGGATTTGGGCTTCGTGACAGTTGAAGTACCTTCCAACCACAATTCTTCCACTAAGAAATTCAGCTGCCTCAGATTTGACCAATCTCACATCACAGCCAGGTTAAGACGTCTCTGACGGATCACTAAGTACTCAGTTCCGCACAGGATCCGATCATAATGTAATTCTTCAAATTCAACGAGTATGTACCTCAAAAGTGTTATACCTGTTACCTGGTCATTGTTCATTTCGTAAGATTAGAATAAACCTAGCTTTTCTTCTTAAACTATCAGCTTTGATGAATCCAGATCTTCAAGTTCGGCGTTAGGGGAATCCACTACAGCGCAACCTTCGCCGGCTGGCCAGCATGAGTTCATGGGCTACAAGAGCCTCTTCTCATTCCTTTGAGCAAGCTCGCAGTTCGTTTGTAAGTTACTTATGGTTGTCGTTAAATCTTCTTTTGACCATGAAGTAGATCTACTTTTGTGGTTTTCCAGAACTATACATTCAAAAAAGATCGAAATGTTTTATACAATGTGAAAGTGAGATTGAGCTCAAGCTTGAAGAGCTATTTTAAATGAATTCGTAAGACCTGTTGCTGATTGATTGGGTTTGATGAATCCATTCCCGTCCTAGTCTCTCCAGCTGAAGGGGTATAACAGAGTACAATGAGAATCAAAAGCATTGGAACAATAATCACTCCGGGATGTCTTCTCAAATACTTCACCAACATGTACCCTCGTTGTTTAAAGAAAAAAGAGAGCAACATATGGCCCTCTGCTGTATGAAGCTAGAAACTTACCAACTTCAAAAACTAATCAGGCTGTTTTTTCGGTTCTATTTCATGTGGATTGCAGCTACTGATCTGATGCAATATTTCAACTAGCTTTGTTAGTATCAGTCTATTTACAGTTGCAGATCATGTTTTATTTCCATATACACACAATAAGTGAAAGTTGGACAATTGTCAATTCTTATTATTGTGGTGAATAGTGAATTCCTAATGATAAGTAATGAATTTCTTTGTTAAAATATTTAGAAGTAAATTGATTGTGATACTCAAGCAATGAAAAGTAATTTGGCTGGGGATTTTCTATGTATAGAAGGTTGTGCCAACCACATGTACTCATTCCAATATTTAAGAAAGAAAGAAAGAAAAAAAGAAAAAAAGAAACCTTTCAAATAATGTTTTATAAGAATTGATTAAATAGATTTCAAGAAAGAAACCTATTATAAGAATTGCCAATGAAGTCATTAGAAGAAGTTTTTAAATTCAACAGGACTTCTCAATTTTTTGAAGAAATTTATTACTTTTTAAATCAAATTAATAAAAGTTTTAAAAGTCTATTCTCATATTATAATATATTTTTAAAAAATGAATTCTAAAAATATTAGATAAGTATTTACAATTCTAAAGTATATACATGTTTTAAAATAATTCATAAACATATATTTTGGATATTTTTAAGATAGTTAATAATGCATTAAAACCAAAATTACAATAAATATGAAAATGAAATAATTATAAGTGAATTTTTTCTAAATTAATTCTTTAGTAGGCATCTTTAAATATAATTTTAATAATTAAATTATCAAATAATAGACCTTTTTTAACTTATAGTCTAAGTTGTATTTTTTTTAATTTTGGCTAAAAACACTTTTTATATAAATAAGAAATTTTTATCTTTATTATGTCACAAATATTTGTATTACTAAATTAAAAAGTAGCTAATGAAAGCTTATAGAAAAATATAAATTATTTAAATTAATTATATCTTCATCAATATATATATATTTTAAAATATAACTAAAATTTATAGATGCTTTTGATATGCCATTTGATTATAAAAAACTTAATTAAAGGATTAATGTAAAGAAACCATTATAAAAGCATTTTAAAACTTAATATCATGGACATACTGTCAAGGACAAGAACTCAATGAAAAAACAATTCAAACAAGTGAGCATTCACTCAAAGAGAGGTAATAAAATATATATAACAAGTATATATATTGAAAGAGAAACTGGAATGGCTATTGCCAAAAGACAAGAAAACTAGAGACCCTTGAAACAGACTAGAAGCAAGAAAGGAGTTGACAAGAGTGAAGAAGCCTTCACTCTTGTCTCTATATATACTATCTAACTAAGAGCTACGTGGCGACGTTCTATAGGACCTCCAATAGGTGTTGACTTTATAGGACACATGCCTTGACTTACAAGGCAAGTTTTTCTACGTGTGGGCCACATAGTTAGCTTGATCTTCAAGCTAACAACATGTGTGGCACATGGCCAACTTGTTGACCACGTTTTTAATCCAAAAAGTCAATTAAAGACACCTATGAAGTCAAAACAGCGTCTAAGAAGTTTCTAGGAAGCTCCCATATTAAATATTATAGGATTATCTTACTTTTACCTACTTTTACTTACTTCTACCTATTTCTATATGTAATTATTAGCTTACATGATTATGGCCGTGACATTACCTCCCCTTTCTAGGGACGAGTTCCACGAGGAGCGGTCATCATATATTGAGGAAATCTATGATGCGACGAATTGTATTCGCCACATACTCTGATCTCTGTTCTCTTCGAAGATGATTGATAGGGCCTCTCAACCATCGGTAGTGTCCCATACCAGGGCGGGAAGACCACCCAGTTATTTGATCATTGTTGAGGCCTTCGTAACTTCCTTCAAATAGAATATTTAGAACACCATCAGGAGTTGTTCCTACCTCTAGCAAAATCACCAAACATCGAGAGTCCCTTCCCAAATCGTGATACCAAACGCATTGTATCTCACCATCTATTCGAGGAAGAACATGTCGTTCTTGAAGATCTTCATCTCGATTGCGTCGTCTTGAAGGTTGTGACAATCGTAATGTCTCGTCCGGCAGGTCAGCAAATGAAGGCTCTTGAGTTGAATCCGCTGGTTGTTGGCTCTCCATCTCTTGAGCGCCACTACTACAATGAAGCTACGAACAAGAATTGAAAGTAGAATGTTAACTTGCATAGATGTTGTTTCTTTTATAAAGAAGGTTTTCATCTTGATTTTGATGGATGTCGTCGATGAAAAGCCTCCATCGCCTTTGCTGCATTTGCAAGATTCTTCATTGGCTCCCATGTGCGTTCACTAATATCATATCCGCACCAATGGACAAGATATTCTATTTTATTTCGGCGCCGCCTTGAATCTAAGACTTCTTCTACTTCAAACTCTTCATTATTATCCACTTCTATAGGAGGAGGTGGAGCTTGTCGTCTTCTTGGTATGTCCACTGTCTTGTATGGTTTAAGAAGAGATACGTGGAATACTGGATGGATTTTCATTGTCTTCGGTAGATGTAAACGATATGCAACTGGATTGATTTGTATAGAAATAGAAAATGGTCCCAGCCTTCGATAGTCCAACTTGTCACAAGGACGAGTGATCTTGATATTACAATGAAGTAGCCATACCTTATCACCCACGTTGAGTTGTGGTTGCTCCTTACGATATACATCTGCGTTTATCTTTTGTCGTTCTTGAGCTTCCTTCAATTGCGCCTTCATTATTGCATGTAACTCTGACAACCGATTTGCCATATCTTCTGCTGCAGGATTATCAACTTTTGAAAAATCAAAAGCATCAAGTCATAGATGATAGCCATAATTGGCAAAGAAAGGTGTTTGTTGCGTGGAGGAATGTACCGTATTATTATAAGCAAACTCTGCCAATGGGAGAAGGGTTGTCCAACCATCTTGTTGGTAGTTGATGGTACACCTTAAATACTGCTCCAAGACTTGGTTTACGCGCTCTGTTTGTCCATCAGTTTGAGGATGGAAAGCCAAAGATAGCTTTATGTCCACTTTTAAAATCTTGAAAAGGGTCCTCCAGAATCTCGACACAAATTGAGTTCCCCTATCCGATATGATATCTTTAGGTAATCCATGATAGCGATAGATATTATCAATGAAAAGCTTAGCTGTTTCTTCACCTGTGATAGATTTTGTACATGGCACAAAATGTGCCATCTTGGTGAAACGATCTACTATCACAAATATAGAATCATAAGATCTTGAGCTTGGAAGATCTGTGATGAAATCCATAGAAACAGAAGACCATGGTTGTTCTGGTATAGGTAATGGCTGAAGAAGTCCGTAAGGTCGATGACGAGGAGTTTTTGATCTTGAACAAATATCACATGATTGTACAAAGTCTTTGACTGACTACCACATTTGTGGCCACTAAAAATCTCTTGATATGAGTTCCAAAGTCTTATTATATCCAAAGTGTCCTGCTGCTGGAAAATCATGACGTGCTTGAAGAACACGTAAACGTGCTTCTCCTTCTGGAACATATAGGCGTCCTTCAAAATATAATAAATTATTCTTGAACTCGAACTGAGAAGAATCATGAGACTTGGAAGAATTATTCTCAATATCATGAACAAGAGGGTCTAAGGACATACTGGACTGGATTTGCTTGAGAAAAGTTGAATCAACAGTCAATGTTGATTTCATTGCTCGGAGATGAAATTGCTCCGGTTTCAAGAGGACCGTTCTTTGTTGCTCAAAAGCTACATCTCCTTCTTTTGGTGCAAAATAAGAATGTCTAGGCAATGGATCGGACAAACCTTGTTGTTTTCCTGGCCGATAAGTGATAATGAACTCGAATCTTGACAAAGACATACTCCAACGAGCTTGACGACAATTCAACACACGTGCTGACATGAAATACTCGAGGTTCTTGTGATCTGTATACACAGTGACTGGACTAGAAGCTCTTTCTAGATAATGATGCCATTCTTGAAAGGAATCCACGATTGCAAGCAGTTCTTTATCGTGGATCTCATAATTGATCTCGGCTGTTGAGAATTTTCTTGAATGAAAAGATATCGGATGAAGTTTGTCATCTGTTCCCATTTGTGACAAAACTGCACCCAAGGCAAAATCCGATGCGTCTATTTCCATAAAAAATGCCTTGGAAAAGTCAACACGATATAAGACTGGTGCAGAGATAAACGATGTCTTCAAGGCTTCAAATGCTGCTTCCGCTTCTTGATTCCATTGGAATTTGTCTTTATTGGTCAAGCGTGTAAGTCGAGCTACAACTTGTGAAAAGTCTTTGATGAAGATCCGATAGTAATTGGCAAATCCCAAGAAACATTGGACATCTCTTACTGTCATTGGAATCTTCCAATCCATGATAGTCTGGACTTTCTTAGAATCCATCATGAGACCATCATTTGAAATGATGTATCCTAAAAAGTCAACTTGAGTAGTGTGAAATACACACTTTTCCATCTTGGCGTACAATCCTGCATCTCTAAGTTTTTGTAATACTTGACGAACATGTATTTCATGTTCTTCGACGTTGTTAGAATAGATCAGGATATCGTCTAGGTAGCAGACGACAAAATTGTCTAAGAATTCACGAAATACATCATTCATGAGATGTTGAAAAGCAGCTGGTGCATTCGTGAGTCCAAAAGGCATGACATTATATTCAAAATGTCCGTACCTGGTTCGAAACGCAGTCTTCCATTCATCTCCTTCCTTGATTCGTACTAGATTATATGCTCCTCTTAGATCTATTTTTGTATAAATCTTAGCTTGATTCAACTAGTCAAGGAGTCCTGATATCAAAGGTAATGGATACCTGTTCTTGATTGTGATCTTGTTGAGTCCTCGATAGTCAACACACATTCGCAAAGATCCATCTTTTTTCTTTACGAATAGAATTGGAGCTCCTGCTAGAGATTTTGAATGGCGTATGAAATTCTTCTCTAAATTCTCGTGAATATATGTCTTGAGTTCAGCCAACTCA